TCTATGCAGGTGGGCAGTAGCCAGGAGTGGATTATAGGAGCCCACTGGGGTAAGAGGGGCACCCAAATGGAGAGTGGAGAGAGGAGTGGCCTTAACTTCATCTGCATCTCCACACACGCACTCCTCCAGCCAGATTGGATTACTCCAACTCCTACAACATTAGCATGTTTGTCTCTGGGTCTAAGGTTTGTTCATGCTATGCTCTATTCCTAGAAGACCTTATAGTTCCATGTTTGCCTGTGAAAATATTTTTGCTCCTAAATATTAAAGAAACATCATAAAATGTAAATATTTAAATCAAATTCAATCTGATTCTAAACTTTCACTCCTAGCTTGGCATAAAAGTCAATCTGTCTCAAGCATACGGAAAGCATTGGCTAACCCAGTATCCAGAATATAGACAGGTAACGTTCTCTAGTCTTCAGTCCATCACAGTGGCTGCTGAGATGCTCAGTGACACTTATTGGTGCAGGAATCTTGTGCTACAGCTGCTACGGCCATGGTGATATGTGTCAAAGGATGTGTCTTAAGCACTTGCAGAAAGTCCTTAACCTCCCTCTCCCCAATCAGTTCCCCAGTCTCCAGAAGCTCACCTTTTCCCCTAGGATTAAGCCATTTCCATTTTTCACTCCCTCCACTAATCCCCACAATTAGCCTGTTTGTGGTATCGTGGTGGCTTGCATGTTGCTATGATGTTGTAAGCTATCTCACTGTATGTCAAATACTAGCAGGGTCACCCATGGGGGACAGCTTTTAGCCGAGGTTCCAGATTAAGACAGACTAGGAAGAAAAGCCTGATGATTTACTTCTGAAATTAGCCAATGCAAACCTTATGGATCACAATAGAAAATTTTATGATATAGTACTGGAAAGTGAGGCACCTAGGTTGGAAGGCACCACACAATAGCCACAACAATGGACTCAAACACACCAACGATCATGAAGACGACACAGGAATGGGCAATGAATGTTTCGTTCTGTTATACATAAGGTCACCATGTGTCAGAGTCAACTTGATGGAAGCTAACAACAAGAAGGCAGTTCCAGGTAGAAGTGTCTTCTACTTATTTGGAAACTTTATTTTTCAGCCCTGAAATACAAAAACTATTGACAACAGATAGAGGCAAAGACAAAAAACCCATTGCCTAGGAGTCAATTCTGACTCATAGTGACCCCAGAGGACAGAGTATAACTGTCCCCCTCCCCAAGGGTTTCCAAGGCTGTAATCTTTATGGAAGCCGACTGCCACATCTTTCTCCTGAGGAGCAGACCTTTTGGTTAGCAGCAGCTTAACCACTGCACCATCAAGGCTCCTTGCCTGCTTAGGATGCTTTAAAGAAAAATCTTTCATTCTTTTAAGCTTCCTAAAGCTTTGAGAATAAAACATTAATACCTCAACCAATTATCCCACCATGCTGCTCATCCTTAAGTCAGGGGTCGGCAACCTTTTTCAGCAAAGGGCCAGATAAAAAAATATTTTAAGCTTTGAGGGCTATGTGTTCTCTGTTGTAACTACTCAGCTCAGCTGTTGTAGCATGAAAGTAGTCACAGACAATATGTAAACAACGAAGGATGACTGTGTTCCAATATCAACACTGAAATACAAAATTAATATAATGTTCATGTGTCACAAAATAGTCGTCTTCTTTTTATTTTTTCAACCACTGAAAATGTAAAACCATTCTTAGCTCATGGGCCATACAAAAATAGATGGAAGGCTGGATCTGGCCTTTGGGCTGTGGTTTGCCAATCCTTGCTCTGAGAAAAACAAGAATTCTAACATGAATATTTCCAGAATTCAGAATTATTACCTTCCATAAATGGCACATTTTTGTGCATTTATTAGAGTCCCTGCCATTTTGTGTCAAGAATAATCACTCCATGTGCATACATCTGAGTCTACCAGATGATTGTATCCTCCTTAAAAGAATTGTGTCACGTACTTCATTTGTGTTCCCACAATGTGTAGGTGTTCCAAGTATTTTGACTGAATGAAACTGAGTAGTGGGGAGAAAGTCAAATAGATGAAACAAGTTTACCATGGAGTATCAGTGCACAAGGCTGGCTTTGTTCTGATAGAAGGCTATGAGTTTTTGTGATAGATGGTTTGTAATTACTTATGTGTGCTCTCATTTTTCTCTTCTCCCTAATTATCTTTACTTGTTGAATTGCTTCCAAGACAGCTCTTAGAGAACCAGGTCTGTAAAGAGAACTCTGCATGGTTGACTCTCAACAGGAAAACTGAGGTTTCTGAAAGATGCTTTTTCCATTTTTGGTTTTATTTATATTCAAGGTTTGTTATAAAAAGTGGAAATGTGATATTCGTGTATAGTTACAAACATTAAAAATGCAAAGCTGTTGTTTTTCTTTCTATATGCATAGCTCATTTGTATATGTATATAGCTCTATATGTATAGCTTATATGCATAGGTAAATATGGGTCTTAGAAAGTTAACATGCTTCTTCTGTCTTAGTAATACCTTATGCTTTCATAACTTATATCTCATTAACTCTACACAATAATCCTATGACTTAGGTAGGGCAGGATTAGAGTCAAGACTCTTTCAGGTAAGTGATTTGAAAAAACAGAACAGGACAAGGTAGTTTAAGCCAAAAAAGCAATGTTTTAGCTCAGGTTAATGAGAAGTCCAGGGACAAATCTTTCTTCTATTTATGACTGAATTAAACGACTGAAATGATAGCATTAGTTTCCTCTTCAATCATTCAGCTCTGTTTTCTTTTGTATGTTGCCCTGATAGGCTTCCTCCAAGTTGCTGGAAGAGATGGCTACCAGTACCCTCAACTTCATATCTTCCCAGCACAAAGACACCAAAGGCAAGAGACCACATTCTCCACTAGCTCTCACTGAAAAATCCTTGGGAGGAGGACTGTAATTATCAGTCCAACCAGGACTACTTGAGGGGAGAAAAACATTCCTCATGGAAAGGGATGCTGAACAGATAATAAATGTTCTCTAAAGTGGGTACAATGGCCATTTACATATGGGAAACATAGGCACAGAGAAATGAAGTAACTTGTCCACGGCCACACTGCTGGTTGGTTGGAGACACAAAATGGAAATCCATGTATTTTTACTATTTAGTACCTTATATAATGTTCTTGCTCTTGCCTGTATTACCATGGTAATTCCTTGGTGTATGTATCTCTCTCTCACCATTTAAAACGAAAACTAGTCCCACAAGCTTTCATCAATACTATTAGGCATTTCATTACATCTATTTATTTGCCTTCTGCATATACATCAATAACTTCACATTCAAACCAAAAAAACCAAATCCACTGCCATTGAGTTGATTCCGACTCAAAGCAATCCCATAGGGTTTCCAAGGTTGTAAATGTCTACAGAAGCAGTCTACCCCATCTTTCTCCCGCGGAGCCGCTGGTGGTTTCGAACTGCGACCTTTCGGTTAGCAATCGCTTTAACCACTGCGCCACTAGGGGCAGAAAGGGAACCTGACCCTGACATGGATTCCAGTCTGGCTTTGTCAGTTACTAGTTCTGCGGCTGCTAGCCAGCGGGTTAAATCTCTGAACCATAATAGTATCCTATCTGCAAAAATGGGGCGGTTTTAGAGCCCTAGTGGCGCAGTGGTTAAGCGTGCTAATCAAAACGTCCGCAGTTAACTCACTACTTGGAAACCCTATGGGGCAGTTCTACTCTGTCTTATAGAGTCGCTATGAGTCGGAACGGACTCAACAGCAACAGGTTTGGGTTTGGTTTTTGTTTTTTATTATCACCTTATTTTGTATGCTCTCAGATACTGCAACAGTAGGCGGAGCTGTTTTGAAAGTTATAAAATGTTAAACACAGTCGTTTGAAATCTGGCTTTTCCTAACACCTCAACAAAGTAGACAAACAAGTGAGAACTGTTAGCTTAAATTGGGAAATCCTCTTGGAAAAATCTGAGTCAATTTTCTAGAAAACTCACCCCAGCACCTCCTTATTGGAACACACTCGGAAAGCAAAAATGTTTCTTCTAAATTTTTCTACGTTCCCTAATATTTTTATGTTGTGCGTTCCTGTGCCTGGTTTCTCTGCTGTGCTGTCAATAATGTTCTTCTTGAAGCAAGGCTTCTTGAAGCAAGGAAGTTACAACGAGAAAAGTATTTCTAACTTCTCGTTCATTACAAATTTTCCCCTTCGGAGATTCCAGCTCTAGAACTATTCTAGCCACAACAAAGTTCTTCCACTGCAAGCCAAGCTCCAGACGCCACCCTAGGTGCGCAGCGCCACCGCCTGGGAACGTGGGCAAAGCCAGCCAGGACTCAGTGGCCGAGGGCTACTTGTGTGAAGCTCTTCGCGACTAGGATGACTCTAAGAGACACTTCGGGTGGTTTCTGTACACTTACCACCCGGGAAAATCCATACTAGGCTCTGTCTCTAACGCTTGTAGCTGGCGTGAACAGAGGAGACGTAGGCAACCCAGACCAGGCAATAGATGTTATTGCGGCGGTATTTTCCTCGGAGGGTGGAGCTTCACTATGGGCAGGGCTTGGCTGTGTTTACCGGACCGCGCTCAGTGAATAAGACTCCTCTGTGACGTGGAATTCAGCTCGATGGGCAGAGCTTCGCTCTCCCGGCAGGACTCCGCTCGGTGGGTGGAGCTTTGCTCTCCCGGCAGGACTCCGCTAGGTGGGCGGGACTCCGCTCGGTAGGGGCGGTTCCGCTCTGCGTACGAACCATGCTCAGTGGATGGGACTCCGCGATGAGGGCAAGGCTAAGATCGGTAGGCGGGACAACGCTTAGTAGCTGTAGCTTCGCTCTTTTAGGCACCGTGCTTAGCTACAAATTTAAACTCCGCTGTTGTTAGGTGTAGTCCAGTCGGTTCCCACTCACAACGACCCTATAGGACAGAGTAGAACTGCCCCATACGGTTTTCACGGAGCGGCTGGTGGACTTGACCAGCCGACCTTCTGGTTAACAGCCGAGCCTCTACGCCACCAAATCTCCGCCCGGGTAAAGTCAATGGGCGGGACTACGACTAGTGCGCAGAATCTTGACAGGATCCCTCCTCCCGGAAGTTTCTGGACCCTCTGCGTGTAGATGGCGTCACCTTAAACAGCTCCACGCGGGTGTCGGAAATACGGTTAGCGATTGATGAAGCGATTTTCCTGCGGGTAGGCAACCCTCGGGGAGTTGGGGCAGGGTTAGACGGATCTCGTGCCAGTGCGGCCCAGAGGCTCGGTTCCGTCGCGCTCAGCCTCGAGCAGCCTTACTCGGCCGGGAGCCCACTAGTACAGGCCCGAATCCTTAGTGCGTGTTGGGGCTTCAGCCCTTTGGCAGGGTCTTAGTTTGTTATGATCGCAATTTCCACGTGGTTGTCAAAGAATTTTCCTGCCTTCCCAACTAGGATATTGCCTGCTCCACGAACCTTCTCGTGTCCCCAACTCTACTGGATCTCTGCCTCTTATGCCCCCGTTTGTATGCTGCCCATGACAGTACCTATCATTTGTGTATGTTTGTGAATGTTTAACCTCAGCTAGGCTAAGAGGTCTTAGGGGGTCAGCAAATACGTGTGCGCGCGCACGTGGCATTCATAATTAAACAATTAATAATTGCTTAATACTAGCTGAACAGTTGGATATCAGTTGCTATTGGAAGGATTTTAGATATTTTAATTTGGGGGATTTTATTAGTGTATTTTCTAATTTGTCCACATTAATCATGTATTTTGTACAGTGATCTCTTTTTGAAAACAGGAGTACCGTTGGGGTGCAAGAGTTGTGTCTTTGTTAAGTGTAACCTCCTAAGGTTGGTCATAGGCTGGAACTTGAAGGGGGTATACATTTCAGTCAAGAAATACAATGTTAACAAAGGATGAATGTACAGGGTGTCTTCAGAGAACAGTTAGTAGACTAGGCTGGCTAATTTAGTGTGTGTAAAGAGGTATCAGGAAATACCTTGGGCAGATTTAAGCTAGATTTAGGTTGCCAGTCATATGCCAGGCCAGGGCGTATTTCCCTTAACGCACTGGGAGAGCCATAGAAGGCCTTTAACATTTGGAAGGTTCATATACTGTGCAGGGTAGACTTGAGTGCAGGTGTCTTAAGCCACGTGTTGGCACACTTTCTGTATATTTTAGGCTTTGTGGTCCATAGTTGGGGAATCCCGGGTGGCGCTGTGGTTAAATCAGTCGACTGCTAACCAAAAGGTCAGAGGCTCAAACCCACCAGCCTCTCTGCAGGAGAAAGATGTGGCAATCTGCTTCCGTAAGATTTATAGCCTTGGAACTGCTATGGGGCAGTTCTACTGTGTCCTGTAGGGTCGCTATGAGTTAGAATCGACTGGATGGCAGTGGGTTTGGTAGGCCCATGGTTGTAGGTGAAAGTGGCCATAGACAATATGTAATGGAATGGGTGTAGCTGTCTCCCAATTTATTTACAAAAACAAGTGGATGGCCAGATCTGGCCCAAGGGCAGTTTGCCAACCCCTGCTCTAAGCAAAAGGAGCCCTGGTGGTGGCGCAGTGGTTAAGTGCTCAGCTGCTAACTGAAAGGTCAGCAGTTCAAATCTGCCAGCCACTCAGTTCAAATCTACCAGCCACTCTGTGGGAAAGATGTGACAGTCTGCTTCTGTAAAGATTTGCAGCCTTGGAAACCCTGTGGGGCAGCTCTACTCTGTCCTGTAGGGTCACTATGAGTCGGAATCCACTAGACAGCAATGGTTTTTGTTTTTTAATGGGTCTAAGCAAATGGACTTAGGGATTATTGCAGTAACCCAGTCTTGAGCTAGGCAGTACTACTATGTGTTTTTGTATTGCTTTTTTATGTGTTCATGAGAGGCAATATCACGTAATGGTTACGTGTCTAATTACTGGATCTAGTCTGCCTGACTTTGAATCCTGGCAACGCAAGGTTACTAGTAGTGTGAAATTGGGCAAATTAATTAACTTCTCTTTGCATCAGTTTTTCATCTGTAAAATGGGGATAATAGTATCTCCCACAAAGGGTTGTTACGAGGCATAAATGAATTAAAAGCTCCTAAAATGTTAGCATAGTGCCTGTACAGCTCAATAATTATTATATTAATAATATTAATATAATATTAATAATATTAATATATTTTAAATCATTCTCAATTATTAAAAACAGATTTGAAAGGTGTTTCTAAGGAAGAATGTACAGACTTAATGCATGTTTAGATACATAGGGAAAAAAATACGTTAAGGTTTCAAGGTAGGAGGCACTCACATAGACATGATATGGAAGTCCTGAGAATAATTTAAAGGAGAGAGGAAGATAGCAAGTGGAGGATTAAGGACTGATTTTGAAGAGAGGCACACAATTAGGAGAGAAAGTGGGGAGAGTATAAACAAATGAAAAAGAAACCAGGAAGGAAACAGAGAAGTCAGTCCCTAAAGTATAAGAACTAGAGTGGCATGTTGTTGTGTGCCATTGAGTCAATTCCGACTCATAGTGACCCTATAGGACAGAGTAGAACTGCTGCAGAGGGTTTTCTAGGCTGAAATCTTTACCAGGTCTTTTCTCCTGTGGCGTGCTGGTGAGTTCCAACTGCCAACTTTTCACTTAGCAGCTGAGCACTTAACCGTTGTGCCACTAGGGCCTCTTCAGAGTGGCATAGTGATATGTAAACCAGCAGGATGGCTGGTGATGGTTAACATTGTCAGATGCTGCAGAGAGCTGAAAAAAACAATTGTTGGGTTGATAATGTTAAAGAATTCAGCCAGCAAACATTAATTGGGTGCCTCCTATGGGCCAGCTGATGGAGATCCAGAAAAGAATTAGATACAGGTAGTCCACGATTTATGGCTTATATGAGTATCGAGTTACGACGAACCATACTTAAAACTTTTTTTTTGTATATCTTATTGTTAGTAATATGTACTACATACAGTGTTGTAGCACGTAATTTACTGATGTTATAATTCTCATGCCTACCTCCAAGACAGACAGAAATCAGATTTATAAAGTTACTGATAAAATGCAATAATAATGACATTTTTTTTTTAAATGTGGTATTCAACTTACATCAGAACCTACTTAAGGTAGAGTCATTGGAACAGAACCCCAACCCCATCGTAAGTCGGGGACTACCTGTACATACTGTGCACTCAAAGAGTGGAAAATCTACTAGGGTAAAGGTCATGGGAATAATCATAAGTAAGATGGAATTTCTTACACTTAATTGGCACTTTTACTTTAAGAACTTAAATTGATTCACAATTCATAAGTGTGGACAGCTTAATTGAACTTCTTTTCTTTCTTTTCCTAGACAATGGCAAAGAATAAACTAAGAGGGCAGAAGTCCAGGAATATATTTCACATCGCGAGCCAAAAACACTTTAAGTCTAAAAACAAAGCAAAACCAGTTACCACAAATCTTAAGAAGGTATGTATTAGTTAAATATGCTGACCTTATTGTTTAAAAGGGAAGTATAGTTATAAAGCTACAGAAAAATGGAATGCTTTTATTAATTTTTATTGTACTTTAGGTGAAGGTTTACAGAACAAATAGTTTCTCATTAAACAGTCAGTACACATATTGTTTTATGACATTGATTAACAACCCCACGACGTGTCAACCCTCTCCCTTCTTGATCTTTTTTTTTTGTTGTTGAAAATATACATAGCCAAAGATACACCATTT